TTTTTTTGGACGTCAATCCTTCGTTGGAGTAAAGAGGAAATTGGGAAACGCCTGTCAGTACACATTTCAAGAATAGATTATATTTTACTTTTTTTATTCTTTTATGACAACTAAATYTTTTCACCAGGATGTAATACACAAGGCAAAGGAGAAAGAAAAAGGAAAAAGCCCAAACCCAGTAAGGTTTTTCAAATATCAAATGTATATTTATAGTAAATATATCAAATGATGTACACTACTCTCTTCTTGGCTTTAACCCCTGACTTTCTTCCTAAAATGACTATATTTCATTTCTGTACTCACTACTGACAAATCTCCTTAACTGACCATGTAATGAAATATTATTTATAATTATGATAAAAACTTAAATCTCAGTCAAGTGTTTGCTGCCCCTGGTAAAGGGAAAATAATATTTGTAACATGAGAGTTCCTTTAATATCATTGAGCTCATATACTATATTAATTCATTCATGTACAAATAACTGGGAGTTTGTTGACCTCATCAGTTGTTCAAATGGAGCACCAAGTCAAAATGTCTATACATATCCGTTCTACATGCGTGCATTTTGTTAAAATCATAAAATGCAAACACTGAAAAAATATCAACATAATATTATTTTATTCCCCAGCCAATCTCAGTTTTGCTTTTCTTTAATTAATCAATGATGGTTATTTAATTATCTTGAATAATAACTAACAGAATTATTGTTATACTTTCTATCAAGCATCCCTATGAAGATCCTGAAGGGCGTATAGAATTACCATTGGCTATCAAGTCAAGGGTTGACCATTGGAAAAGACCAACTGACTTCATTGTCGATAAATTACCTGTGGTTGTTGAACCAAAGAGTTTGAATGAAGACATTGATCTCTTGTCCAAAAATGAACACTTGACACAGTGTGAGGTAATTAGTATTAAAAATGAGTCTCCATTTGACTGGTGGTGTTTGATATGATATTGTTGTTTGATGTAGTATGCATTGGTTGTAGTGATAGTGTTTGATGTAAAGTCCTCCAATTCGGACTGGACGGGGTTTCAAGTCCGCGCAATTAGTTCCAGTCCGAGGCGTTCTTTGAACGACTTCTCATACTCATTAATTATTCGGGAGGGGAAAAAAGCGAAGGAAATACATATAACAGAAATATATTGATTTATTGCATCTTCTCCAAGGTTTTCAGTTTTCATAATTTTGAATAAAGAAGCTCTGTTTGTTGTTTTCCAATTCCCGAACGGCTTTCTGAAACAAAAGCTTTTCAAATTGTCTTTGTTTGCTTTTCATGGCATTCCTAATGAGCCTAATTCATAAGTTTTATAAGTATGTTATCTTCCAAGGAATCGCATCAGAAACTCGGTGGTGTAATGGTATAAGACGGCGCATATAGACTGGACGGTTCGGGATCGTTTCGTGAGGGAGTCATTTATCAAAGACCTTTTTTCACTAAATTAATTCTATATTAAGTTGATTATTTCTAATACTTTGATTATCATTAGCTAGTAGTAGTTAGAAAAAGCTAGAAGTAACTAGAATCAAGGTAAGAGTAACTGGAAATAAGATAGAAGTAACTAGAAACAAGGTGGAAGTAACTGGAAATAAGATAGAATACAAGGTAGGAGTACTTCCTCTGGTATCCAGTTACTGCACGTGGTACAAATTACAATCAGAGATTGGCTAGATACCTCATGAATAATTAATGAGTATGAGAAGTAGTATGGTTATAGTATGTTGGTAGTAGTGATGTATGATGTAGTATGGTGGTAGTAGTGGTGTATGATGTAGTATGGTGGTAGTAGTGGTGTATGATGTATGGTGGTAGTAGTGGTGT